ATCATTATTATCATTATTACTGCCACATTCTGCCAGGAACTGATATGGATAAATGTGAAAAGGTTCAAGGCACGATGTGACTGAGGAAAAAAGGACATGGACACGACAATCCTCACCCGGTGAAAAAGTAAGGCACATAGAAACAATAACACAATAACAGTCCTTTCAACCACTAAATAAAGCAATGCTGACAGAAAGAAACAACAGAGGAATAAGAAGAAAAGTAGGACCTGCCTGGGAAGCCATTTAGAGCAGGGAAAAGCCAAGACAGACAGCTAAACACGACAGGGAGATAAGTAAAATAAAGTAGGACCTGCTACTGTAGCCCTCAAACCAACGAACACAAAAGAAGACAATAACAAATCTGACCTGACTGACTGATGAAGAAAACAACGTCATCTCTGAAGACCGGCGTGTTGCGATCCAGAAAGTCGCTGGCTAGCTCCACCATGACAGGAAGCTCTGTCAGTTCCTCAATCAACTGACGAGTCTGAGAGAAGAAGAAATAAATAAATGAAACAACCAATAAGCAGAAATTATAAAAACGCAATAAAATAGGAAATTAAATATCAAATCATGGCCTGAAAAAGACGCACTGAGACTTCAAAAATAATAAATGATTAAAGGCATACAACAACAGAATTATTTTTTTTAATTGTAATTATTTCAATCTACCCCATTTACACAAATGAGACAGTTTAAAAAGGCTGTTTCAACTGTGCTTGTCAGGGCTAACCCATGGCATGTAGGAGACAGCATCCCAGAAAGAAGAAATACTCTTAGTAAATAAATCAGTGCTTCTGACACACAGAGCAGAAAAGTAAGGAAACTTCTATCGTGGGGGGAGGTCTGAGGGCTAGCGGGGTCCAAAGATAGCATTCCTATGGGGGTTCAGGAGCCGAAGCTTAAAAAAAATTGAAATTTTTTTCTCTTAGAGGATTGAAAACGGCACTTCATAGCCTGTTTGATCAAATTGCCAACAACACATAACACTCATTCTTCCGCTGAGAGTTTGTCTTGTTTCACCAGTCTTCGTCTTCTTGTATAGATTCACGTAAAAATACAGAAGTTTGGAAGCACTGATAAATATCAAAGGAGTTGATAGATAATAAACCCATAACAAGGGTTTGATCTTTTGTTATTTATTACTTTACAAATAACGCTTACAGTGCTGCCTATGCTCTGCATAAAAATGGACTATTTTACTTCCATTTAGAACATAACTTGGCTTAATTCTCATCTGTTTCCAAAAAATTTATAACATATAAAAGATAATGACTCGATTCAAACATGACATTCGACCCATTTCCCTTACCGCTATAGCACTGTGATAGCTGGTGCCACAAGCGATGAACAGAAGCCTGCGACAGCGACGGATCTCGTTCATGTAGTCTTTGATGCCGCCCAGTATGACAGTGTTGGTCTCAAAGTTGACGCGGCCTCGCATGGTGTTCACCACAGACTCGGGCTGTTCAAAGATCTCCTTCTGCATAAAGGAGCTGAAACTTCCTACAGAAGAAATTCAGAACATTGAAAAATATTTTTTTTTGTGATTGTTTTATATTCCAATCCACACAGTTTAGGTCATTTATGAGGTAGGCTGCTTTTGACCCAGTTCGAAACAATATTTAGAAATAAAGATGATAAATTAACAAGGCACTGCGGGGTAATGGAAAGGAGACCTCAAAAAGGATGAGTTTAAGATTAAGAGTGCATTCCATAAAATGATGGACAGATGGTACTGTTTGTTTGTTTTGTTTGCTTGAGTAAAGACAAGCATATCAACACAGTAACATCCATTTCATTAAGTACAGTTTTTTTTAAACCCAAGTTGACAGATAAAAGCAACAGAAGGAAAGAAAAAGAAGTAGGACCAACCAGTGATACCCTCAAATTATCCATGAGTTGAAACAGTACTAATGGAAAACGACAATAAATGAACAGTGCACAGCACTGGAAAAATGGAGAGGTTAAGAAGGCGTTGTCAGGTATAGCGGGGTGAAGATATTTAGCAGAAATGCACGGAATGACGAAACGGAAAACGGAGAAGTATGGAGACTGTATTGGTGGGTATGGCACAGCGTGGGTTTAACTCCCCTTTAAAAACCTGTAAGGTTATTTAAGAGCTCCAAAACTAACTTCCATCTCCGACAGGTTTGAGCCAAATGCACGGAGCAACCTTAAAAGTTCTCACAATAAGGTAAGTTCGAGAACTTCTAGTTGAAGTCATTTGCACTATAGTCTGGCAAGATACCAAATGAGGCGATGGTGTCCTCAGCCTTTCAGTTTTTAGTTTGTGTAAAGAAAAGCCCATCTACAAGTAAAAAGCCATTTAATGCATGGACAATGCAAGGTAGACAGGCAGACATAACAAAAGGAAAGAAAAGAAGGACCAACTAGTGGAGCCCTCCAAACACCCGAACCCTCACACTGCTGTGAATGAAAGGGGCTGAACAGGCAACAAGCAACAAGTACTAAAACAATTTAGTTCAGGGTAAAAGCAAGATAAACATATACAACAGATTGAAGGAAAAGAAGCAGGTGTTATGAGTGGCACCCTCTATCCATTCGCTAGTAGACTAGAGAAATAGTAACAGTGACAAAAAGTATTAAAAAAACAAAAAAACAGACCACACCACTGAGCTAGTATATGTACTCTGTACCTTTGGCAACTACTTACTGAACAGATCAACAAAGTGACACATAAAAAAGTTTTGATCTGACTACATGTAAAAAGATGAATGAAGCCTCAAACCCAACCAGCCATGCATAATTCTTTTCCAGCAAAACAATCAGTCCTATCAACTGAGCTTCGTAATATAATACACCGAAAAGAAAACACTTTCTCTCAATAAATCTTCTGAAGGCTAGTGCGATCAATGTACTGGTGCCTGTCGGAAAAAGAATGGTCTAAACTCCACTTTGTACAGTATGGATTAAATTCGATTTGTTTTTAAAAAATTTAGAGCAATGAATTACTGGACACAGCTTTATCAACAATGAAAGAACTCATTAAAATAATTTCTCAGGAGTTATACTTATCTCTGAAGAAAGGATTACACAGAGCTTTATTTTATTCCATGTTTGTGATAATTTCTACTTTGAATAAAAGTGAAGATCGACTTCTCTCATTCTCAAAGGCATGATTATTCTTCTATTTCCACTTACCTTTCATGATTTGCTCAATTTCCATCTTAAGTGTGATGACTTCCCGATATGTAGCTTCGTCCAGAGTGCGAGAGACGCGGTGAATGTTGAGCACACCCTCGTGCACAGCAGCCACATCATTCTCCTCAAGGAAGATAACTTGGTTGGTATGTTCAATGAAGGCACTGTTTCGAGACAGATGGGATGGTTCGTTTGAATTAAAAGAGATGGATATCAACATGATAATAGTTATTTACTGCTGAGAAAATGCAAAACATACAGACACAAACAAAATAGAGACTAAAGAAGAAAGACTTACCAATGGCGCGCCCCCACCTGTTCCTGTTACAAGTTCAGTTTAATTTTCAGCTAGAGTAAACAGAAGTACAATGACACAAAAACCGCCATTTAATCAGGGGGATAGACAGACAAACAGAAACAACATGAGGGAGAAAAGAAGTTGGGCCTACCAGGGGCACTCTCCAGCCACCCACAACATGTATAAGGTTGAGAAAAATGCAATGGTTTGTTTGAGTCAAGGACAAACACATCAAAACAATAATGGCCAATTAGTATTTGGAAAAAAGAAGGACATTTAGACTGAAACAAAAGAAGGAAAGTAAAAAAATAAGACTTTCCAGAGGCGTCCATCAATAATCTACATGATAGAAGGGAAGTGAATTCAGAATTCCATAAATGAAAGAAAAAGACAACACAAATGTGGTGGCAATTAAAAGTCCAATTTTATCCATGCTGACCATTAAAGAAAGATAAAAAGAAAAGGCATGTTAACATGAACTTTCAAAAAAGCACACTGACACAATAATGGTCATTTAGTACAAGGAAAAAGTATGTTTATTTAGTGTAGGGAAAAAGTAAGACAGATACACAGGAACAGCAAAGGGGAAAGATAAGATGTAGAACCTACTAGTAGCACAATCAATCTACCGCATAATATAAGAAATATAATGTACTGCTGTGAGCAAACTTTTAATTCTCTGAGCTAAGAATTCCTACCTAGCGTCAGAAGCAAAAAAATATTCAATCTCCTTGTGAGGACCGGCTGGGTGGTACTCCGTCTCCTCATCCTTTCTACCTTGACTTCCTCCCAGGAAACCCCGGTGATCTGAGGATACAAATGTAATGTATGCCAGGTTCCCACCTCACACATATTCCTTAGAAGTTTGCTTGGAGACAAAACAACTTTCTTTTCAAAAAAATTATCCTTGCTCTCAACACCAATGGTTAAGACTAAAATGTAACAGAATTGTTCATTTTAGATTTTGTGGTTAGTAATTGAATGGGTTTAACAAACGCTTTCAGAACTGTAAGGTTATTTAAGAAGGAAGAACTCCAAATTCAACTTCCATCTCCAATAGGACAAAACCAAGTAGGCTGGTAACCGTGAAAACTCGAAAGACAACCTAAACTGAAAAATTACCCATTAAGGATTCAAACCAGGATCATCCACACCATAGTCTTACATCATACAAACTGAACAAAAGCAAAGGTTTTAATTCATACTAATTTGAGACAGAGGGTGAAAGCCCACCTGTTTTTTGGATAGCTAACAACAAATTAATTTGAATAAAGATTAAGTTAAGTAACTGGGTAAGCATGAAGTCTTTGTACACTGATTGTGAACAAGACAGTGAAAGAGAACAAAACACATTGCCATCCATCTCCTGTACACAGAAGCCTGAAAGGTAAGACTTAAGATTAAAAATAACACCCCAAAAAGGCTTCAAAAGACCTTTTGTTAGTTCTCAGAGATATGAAAAACCACTCTTAAGGAACCCACAACTTGGTTGAGATATCATTGACTGTTATGCATGCCGTTGTAAAAAAAACCC